ACTTATAGCTTTATCTTAAATAATCAAGAGCAGTAAGACTTGATTATTGGCAAATTTCAAAGAAAAACAAAAGGGGTTTTTGGTCAGTGGGGCACTTTTTTAGCATCAGGAGAGAGAGTGATTAGTGTAAAATGGAAAGACACATGGATTTGATTCTTGCAGAATATGCAAGACATAGGAGCACTTTCTGCTTCTAAAGTACACTTTCAGATTTATCTTTCACTATGGTAGAAAAAATCCAGATGTGAGCAATAATGGGGCAGAAAGTTAAAGATTCAGTCGGCTCTTAGAAAAACAAGAGGAGACTAATAAAGCTGTTATGATGTGATCCAGCAGCAACACCTAAAGCCACAGTTGCCATAAACACTTGCCAGCTGCACAGCACCTTTTGTGGCAAAACAGACACAGCCCAGCTCTCCCAAGACCAACAGAGTTCAGCTGGCACCAGCAAAACAACAAATCTTCACGCCTTCCTGCACAGCAGAAAGATACTAATGCAAAACAGTAAAGCAGAGTAAGAGGTCTCAACAAGGGGAAAAAAACAGAAAAGAAAGAAGGAAAAAACCCACCTTGATAGGGGGGGGTTACAAATGAAGAGGGAGAAAGCAACAAGAAAAAACCCAAACCAGCCCTGCAGCAATTCTGCCATTGAACAAAAGTGACGAGGGAATGGAAAAAAAATATTACTATCTCAAAATGCCAGTGATGCATCAGAGACATGAAAAGGCAATTAAAAAAATAAAAAGAAAAAAAAGGGATTGTTTGAAAAAGCTGGAAATTAACAAAGGGCATTGAAAACACATGGGTGTTGGGAGGAGGAGGAAAATTAATCAGAGACATAAGGGAAGTATGAGACACTATGAATCACAGGAGTCACTGATCATAGGGTCAGTCACAGGCTGACCTTCTAGCCAGACACCAAAAGGCATAATTTTCAGGTCCACTTTAAATTACTTTTATTTCAGCAAAAAGTAATTACTTGGGCAAATCCAGCAACCTGAGCAAGTGTGCTACTTAATCCCCTTGCTCTTATTAATGTGAGCAAAGACAGAACTTGATTCCTTAATAGAAAACAAAAAAAACAACCACAAAACCACTCACCAGAGAGTGACTGCATCATCCCAACACCGGCAAGAGTCTTAAGATATGCAAAAAAACAGAGAACCCTAAATTTGGAAAAATTCAACTTTTTTTTCTTTCCCTGCTGTCTGTTCTTCACCTAACTCTGACTAGTCTCATCCCCAAGTGTACAAAGCAACCATGCAACTTGCAGGTCTAACAACAATACAGGTTTCAAGGGTGAGAAAGGAGTGGTGGTACAACACTCTTACTGAGCCTACAGGCTCTGCACTGTCAGAAGATGAACTTCTTACAGCACAAAAGCAGGTGGTTTCAAAGAGAAGCTCTAAGCCTTGCAATGACTTAAGAAAAGAAAAGAAAACAAACCTGTTTGGGAATTACAACAAATTCCTGAAAAGACTGTGCCTTACACATGACCACTTCCCTTGTCAATGAAGCTATGGCAAAAATAAGAGAAAACCGATTTTTTTTTTTTTTTTAATTTGTGCCTCATCTGTTGAATGAAGTACACAACCAGGTAGAAAAGACAAGAAAAATGGACTAAGGGTTTTGCACACACACACACACACACACACACACACAAATTAAAGCTGTTTAAGCTTTATTTTTTTTAAAGAAGTACACCTAGTTCCCCATCTATTTATCTAAATTTAAATGCTTCTGGTGAAATATCTTGAAATAGCTTTTAAGTGTTACTGCAGTCTTCACCAACATTTTCAAGGCTTCTGGGTGATACCAACCCAGGCTGTACTAACAAGTTATTGTCTCCTCACAGCTAGTCTGCCTTTTGACCAGAGAGTACAGTATCCCTGGCAGAGGCAGAGCATGTACAATTGTTCCATAGTTGCCAATGTTCATAGTCCAACAATTTATTTCAGGTCACATTTGCACCCTAGGTTGTGAAGCCAGAGGTGTTGCCTATCATCAAGGAAACAGACTGCTGGTTACAACCTGCCCAGCTGCCCCCATTTATGTGGTCAAAAGTCATCCTGTATCACACTTAACTTCTCCAGAGCTTCCTCACCTATTACTGGAAAAATAATAAACAAGTAACAATGGCAGCATTCCTCTTAATGACTTCTCAAACAGCTCCCAGGACCACAAATCACCTGGAAAGTCAACAGCTACTCACGTTTGAATGGCATCAAGCCCTGCCATCTTCATCTTCAGCAGGCGGTCTTTCCAGTAATACGAGGGCACCCGCGAGTAGTGAATGCTGCCGGAGATGTAACGGAAAGCTTTCCCATCCTTGACAAAGCAGTTGGAATCATAATCAATCCCAAAACTCCTCTCAGGTATATTCTGTAGACAAAAACAAAACAAAAGACACAATATAATTTTTTTCTGCCTTGAAAGACACAGCGAACAGGTTATACAACATCTGTGGGTTGTCTACAATAGAAGATACAATGGTCGTAAAATAAGAGATGGTGAATGACTTTCCTTTAGCTATCTATAGCTCACCTGAGCCTTAGCACAACAAATCAGCAAAAGGGAGCCAGTGTAATGTGTCACAGGATTAAAGAACAAGGAAACTAGCAGATATAGTTCAAAGAAAACACACTCCCTCCTGAAAAATGGAGGACAAAATTGCTAAGCCAATATGCCTATCCCTAGACTGTCATTAAAAAGAGCAACTGAGATAACACTTTACAATCATTTCAAGACTACAAACTCCAAGGAGGAAGACGACACCATGTTCCATCTGCAACAAAGGCATTATTTTACAGAAAACACAAAAAACGTAGTGGAAAATGTCCTAGATACACATAGGAATTCAAAGCATTTGCTAACAGTGAACAGGTGAAATTGTGTGGTGGATGTGTACCAACAGGTATGAGAGGATACAGCAAGAAGCTGGCAGGGAAACAAGAAAAGCAAGGAGCTGCCAAGTGCTGCACAGCACAGGCTTTTTATGCTCTATTTCCATAAACATGGATCCATTCTTAAGATTACTTAACTTTATTAAGATAAATAAATCTTGATTCAACAAAGGTGTGGGCCTGTCAGGTCTCTCCAAAATCAGGACCACACAGAATTTGGAAATACAAACCAACTGCTCTGGAATACATGTAACTCAAGGGTTGGGATTCTCCATAGGAAATTATGATGCTATAGTAACTCCAGGCTGTTAGACCTCAAGCAAACTATTGCTGCAAAGGATGTACAGGTACGGACAGCTGCTTACTTCCTGTTCAATTTAAATGTATGTGACTTTTTCCTGATCTTTCATTTATAACCTGCATCTTGATGGCTGGGCATGCTGCACTAGGATGGAATTGTTCCATGTGTACCCATGAAGGAAACTATTCACCCTTACAGACACCAAGCAGATGTTTCACATTCTTCAAACGTTTTTACTCTAGGGTGCTGTGACAAGTGCAGAGCTAAGTGCTTCAAAATGATCATGACTACGTGGAAACTGAAACCAAACACAACAACACAGAAAAGAAACCAAAAAAGTCACCACTATGGATAGAAGCACCTTACACATTAAAAGGCCATTATCCTGGAAATAAGGAGAGGCAAAATAAATTGCTGTGGTGTCCCTCTGTAAGGGGATTTTAACCTCCTCATTCAGACTAACCATATCAAGACGTCTAGGGAAAAGACCGTTCCATTCATGGCAGAGAACTGTTGAGATCAGAAACCTAGGAAAAAACTGTTTACATGCCCTCAGGGACAGACACTCCTGGCAGAGAGCCATGGCTATCTTAAAACAATTAAAGGGAGGTGTTAATTATGAAAGTGGTAATCATTGAACCAGTTACCATTTAGAAGTCAGGTTTTTTAAGCTGTGACCATAGCTGTAAATCACCTTCCCAACACATACACTTCCTGACACAGTGGTACTACATGGCTGAGGAGAGGGAGGAAGCTACCAGAATACTTCAAATTCACCTCATTCATCATCCATTGTAAACAGACTTCCTTCATGATCAATTCCTCAGCATCACTTCATTGTCAGTGGATGATCCAGGGCTTGCAACAAAAACAAGAGAGTTCTCCTCATGAATCTAAGTCTGGATCTGCCAATACTGTATACTCACCGTTGTGAATATGCAGGGAATTCATTCCCACTTTGTCTCCCTAGAAGATGGGGTAGTGGCTTTGCTTGTTTGGTAAGCAACACAAACAGCACTGTTTGGGGTCCCACTGCCTTCATACCAAATCATATCAGTGTCCAGCTGAAAATTCAGATCCTTACAGGCAATGGTATCATGTTGCATCTTACATGCTCAGAGCATACTCACATGGAAATGAGAAGAACTAAAGAATTTGTCCTTGCTTAAATCAAGCAAGAGTTTATTTTTGCAACCTTAATGCTATTTCAAAATTTTATAATGTGCATGTCTCTTGACACAAAATTTTTCTTCCCATCTTCAACACATGACTATTTATCAGTAGCAAAAATCTGTCATTCTGCAAATCTACAAAACAGGGGTGGGTTTTTTTCTTATTTAGAAAGCAAACAAATGCAGGTACAAATCCTCTGTCTCTGAAGATTTTTAGCCTCTCTTAGACCAATCACAGAACACCTCTTTCTCAACCTCAAAGCTTAAGTATCAAAATTGAGTACCATAAAACACTAATTTTCTGTTCCTCCCAAAATATTCTCTTAGTAACCTTTCTGTGCCCTCTCAGTGGTCCTTTTCTCTGCATCACCCTCACCCCTGCTGTCTGCACCTTTTTCTCCTAATAGGCTTCAGGCAAACGTAACAGTGGCCTTTCCCACTTTCCACCATGACTCATTTAGCAGTAGGGGTGTAAGAGTTTACAAAACTAGTCAGGTTTATTTTTGGTAGCTTTTTGTTGGTAAATAGAATGAGTGTGTTAAAACTATTCAGCATGACTGCTACAATACATACTGGCACAAAATAAAAGGTCATTAGAGGCCTCATAGTTGATTATAAGAATAAAGTTTTATTAAATCCCAACATTTAAAGCATTTGTTATACCACAATTTACATATTTTCCAATCCATTCTATAGTAATTATATAATAAATATAATTTTCACAAAGTGACAATACTATTATATTCTGCTATTAATTCTGACATTAATTAACTTCTCCTCAGCCCCCAATGAACTGGCCTTTTATAGGACAAAATATATATGTTCATTTAGTTAAGTTCTCCAGATTAAATACATTACACACACACATAAAATTTACAAAAACAAATTTAAAAATTAAAAAATAAGGAGCACAGCAATTTTTCTTCATCTGAAATACTGAACACAGGTCTGCGTTGAGTACATTCAAATCAAACTGGAAAAAGTATAGAAAGAACCTTGAGGGACAGATAGAGACTGCTGATTAGAGAGATTACAGAAACGGTTCATTCCTTTTATCAAACAGAAAGTTGATCTAGGATACTTTCCATTCATAATTAAAAAGCAAAATAAGAAAAGGCTTTGAAGTCTTTTGGCACAGAAAGAAAGCATTTTAAGTATGAAGTAATCACCAGCAAACAACCTTTCAGAGGGAGAGATACAAAAAAAGGTGCAAGAACTAAGTTACATCAGGAGAACTCAACAAATGTATGAAATGACAATATGACCACTCCTAAAACGATGCATATCTGCTTCTGGAAGGATACATAATTATCTTCCAAGAGAGGCACATACAAAGTAATGAAGAAATTCTGGGATGGAAGGACCCCTTCAGCGATGTTTTTGCAGACACTTGATCAGAATGAAGAGAGATATAAAAAGGGCAGGAAAAAAAATGTAAATAATACTAGCAACTCAATGAGAAACTGACACGATCTAAAATCAGTCCCACAAATGCCTCCTGTTGAGGAAACTGGCTTAACAATTAGCCTTCTTAACACGGTAAGAACATTCAGTGCAACAAGTGTAAAAATCCTCCTGGACTACTGGCCAGGTGAGAATACTCTGCACCACTAAACCCAGAACACAGCTCTTAACTGAAGGCGAGCTGACAAGTAACCAGAGGGTTACAGGCAATCAAAACTCCTTCCTTACTCCTTCCCCATGTGACACTATGCCACCAACTGCAAAAAGCCTCAGATGGATCCCACACGGACAGTGGGCAGTGTTGAATACACATGGATACTTTAGTATACTTAAGCAGATATTATCACACAATCATAAAAAAAAGTTTACAAAATTATAAATGGTGGGAAATAGAAATTATCTAATCTGGCAAGCAGAGAGCATGGCTGGTAAGGTATTCAGTCTTTCAGAAGAGGACTGCCTTCTCCACCAATTCCACTAACCTTTGTGACACATTTAGAGTATTTCTCATTATTCCTCAGTAAAAATGTAAGATGTTTGTACAGAGGAGTAGGATACAAAACCTAGCATAGGAATTAGAAGCTCTGCCTGGGAGATGTTCAGAGTGGATGAACCTGAAAATTTAATTTACAAAACCCCTACACTTTACAAAGCCTACAGTACTTCTCAAACACAACCCTACTTATCTCCTTCAACATGAGAACAGAAGCTGAAGAATGGAACCAAGTGTATATGGTTGTTTGGTTCAGGATCACACAGGAAGGCAGGAAAAGACTGAACACCACAGCTCTGGTCTTCCATCCTCAGTTTCCTGGATAAGAACCACTCTCTTTTGTCCCATGCTGCGGGTCTGCCTGAGGGAAACACGGGCACTGGTGGCCAGAAAGGCAGAGCAAGGCAAACCCTGCGGCTACAGCTGCAGACTACAGAGGCAGAATTCCCTGGCTCTAATAGTTTGTGGTGTTTCATGCAGCAACAATGAGGTGGGAGAGAAGGGGAGAGAAGATGCACAGAAGTAAAGTATTTCATTAGCCTGGACAAAAGTCACACATTGTTTTATATCCTGGCTTTCTTACGTGAACACAAAGATATAGAAACAAGAATGTTCGTATCAATTATTCTCTAATACCTCAAATTTCCCATAATTATGTTAATTTATGACAAGCTTTTCTATGAAAGATGGGAAGAAATCCTCCATCCCTCATTATCCTGTAGCAGTTACTCTCCTATGTGCCCATCAGACAACCAGGACACTGACATGCAAACGTTCTTAGGGAAAGTCACCTGCTGCAGAATTTAGTCTCATTAAAAGAGGATATAATTTACTTAAATATTAAAGCCTTTAACAAATTTCAAGCATTAACTCATTTGCATTGTTTTCAAATAGCATCTACTTGCTCTTGCAAGAGAAAAATAATGGAGGAGAAATTAGGCATAAAGAAAAAAATACAAAATGAAGACAAAAGACACTGAGTATTTCAGCTTTGGAATTAGGGCCTTATATAAGGAGGTACTGTATGCTCAGACAGCAACAGATGTTAATTTTGGAATATTCCTCATTTGCTTTTATTATAGCTATTTTCAGTAAACAATTACTTGATGCCCAGCTATTCTGGGAAAAATGCCTGAGAAAGACAGCTACTTTCACCTTTTAGTGTCAGTCTCACCAACTTTTTTAACTGGACAAAACTGAATTTCAGAACTGATGCCTGGCAACTTATAGTACTAGTAAGCACAGACTTGAAGCCCTGGTGCATGCTGCAGACAGTTAGCAGGATGAAAATATCCAGCCTCAATTAAAAAAAAAAAACAAACCCTGAACTATTAAACTCTTCCTTTCCCAAGCCTCCTAGAGTTTACATACTCAGTGCACACACTTGCAGGCCTTTCTGCAAAGCATGCATATTGACTTCACTGCACAAGCTCAGAACTTCATCTGCCTGAGATGTGATAAGGCAGCTGCCTGATGGATACCAAACAGTGGAACATGAAGTAGCTGCAGGACACAGGTATTACTAAACATGCACAGGACACATTATCTCTGTGACATCAGTGTTATCATTAAATGCAGAACCTCAACAATAATGAACTCAAAGACGTAATTACTTGTAATTTAACATGTCCCAAATTTGTTTCATAGGCCCAAGATACAGTTAGTGTTTTCTGCTCAAACTTAACAGAACCTGCTGAAGTTCAGCCCAACACATCTTCTCTGGCTTCCCTGAAAAAGGATTTGCTTTCATAGTAGAAGAGCCAATATACTGGCCAAAAAAAAAAACAAAAAACAATTAGAAGTCTGTCAAACGGAAAACTCCTCAAGGAGAACGTAGAATAATCTCTGTTATTTCAGCTCTGCTGCCCAGCCTCATGGGTATTCCATAGTACATCGTCCCCGGGCTGACGTAGACGAAGGTATTCTGCCCAACTTGGTACAAGCCAACAAAGAATGGATTCAGAAGATAAGCTCCAGCATTTAGAGGGAAAATCTGCCCTCCATGAGTATGGCCAGAGAGAATTAAATTTATGTCTGGTCTCTCCTGAAGGGCCCACTTTGCAGCAATTGGCTGATGAGCTAAGAGCACTATTGCATGCTCACTGCTACAACCTCTGAGAGCTTTTTTCAAATCCATGCCATGTCCCGAATAGCGCAACACATCTGCTTCAATATCATCCACACCAGCCAGGCAGAACCAGTCAGAAGTGCTCTTTGGTGAAACAATCTTCACGTTCTCGTTATGCAATGGCTGAATGTTAAATGATTTTAACAGCTCAAACCAGTTGCTAACATCTGAGGTGTAGTACTCATGGTTTCCTGTCACAAAGTAAGTGCCCAAAGGGGAATCAAGTTCTCCAAGAGGCTCAACAGCAGGTCGTATGATCTTTGCCTCAGCATCAGATAGATCCCCAACAATCACGGTGATATCTGGTTTTAAAGCCTTAACCATTCTCACTATCATGGCAAGCTTGGTCTTCCCAACTGTAGGCCCCAGATGGATATCTGAAAGCAACACCACTTTCAGGTTGTTCATTGTTGAGGGCAGCTTGTGAACTGGAATCTCCACTGAATTCACCGTAGGGGGCTGGGAAGCATTTAACAGCCCAACAACAGTCAGCACAACAGTCAGCAAGACTGCCAGAACTGGTTTCAGTGCTGTTCTGTTCTTGTTGCCAGTGCCTGCCTTAGCGCCTCTCCCAGCCAAGAGCTTGTAAGCCTGCTCTACAGTGCCTAGAGTGAAGAGGAAAAAGATCAGAATAATATAGGCCCCCAAGCAAGTGTAGGCAGCTAAAGAAAAGAAATAGGGCTCTTCTGCAACAAGAAATAGCAATGTAAAGAAGCTTGAATGAGCCAAAGCTAGAAACATGAACACAGCTAATTTCCACAGCATGAAACAGAAGGAGCTGGCAGCTGAAGACCTGGTGAACGTGGTGACTGTGCTTCTCCAAACATGAAGAGATCCCATCAACATGAGTGTATTAGCAAATAGTGCCATTTGCAGCCTTAGAAGCCAGCGCCGTGTCCTGAAATCAAGTTTTTCCGCCAGGTAACTCCGTGATAGCATCATGGAGAAGAAAACCACTCCTGCAGCCACTGCAGCCTTGGCTTCAATGGGCAGTTGCTTGAAGGAGATCATCTTTGCTTCCAGACTGTTCCCTTCTGTTCTGCAGAAGTCTCCAGAAGTCAACAATGTGGTTATGAAGGGATGCCTTGGGTCAACAAAGCCTGCAACCAGGAACCAGTATGAGCCGCTTTAAAATATTACACACATTCCCTTTTTCCCAGACTGCAATAAAAGACTGTTACTCTACATAATACACAAGATACTGGGTCATGCAGAATCACTGTCACAATGACATAAAGGAGATGTCCTTTATGTCATTGTGATGAAGTGGAGTAAACCAGACAACAGAAAAGACTGGATGCTGGAAGCATCCCCTTCCAAGCTCCTTGTCTGCCTCCCTCAATCATTTCTCCCCCACACCCCCTCTTCTTTTAAACACTTTTTTTCTCATCAAGACTTCCTAATGGTAGATGGCAATACATCACAATGTATCACAACAGGGATGCAATGAGTCCTGGGAAAAACCATTATAGCATTTGTAAATCCCACACACGTTCTGGGACTAAGTTGCTTCTGATATTAAATTAATACATGATTTCTGTTCTTCTTGCCAAGCAGTTGGCTCCATCTGAAAAGCAGGCATCGCCCTACATCATTCTTACCAAATGCAAGAGTTTCTACTAACACATGCTACAACAGCAGTGAAATCCCCACTGCAACAGGTGCAACTGTGGTCCCAGAAACTGCAGATGATCAGCAGATATCCTTGTCTGCTGTTGTGAATCAGATTTCTCCAAAGCCCTGCAAATCAGTAGGATCAGTGAAACTCACACTGTGTCTTGCTACTCACTTCCAGCTCACTTCCACTGCATGTAGTTTTCCAAGACTCAACACCTGTTCTAGTATACCCTGGTCTAACAGGATGCAACCAAGTTGAAAAGAGATTAAAATACCACACCCTGCTCCTTTAGAGGGGAGCACAGAATCTAATGCACGACTGGTCACAGACTGGAAACAAACAAGCAAGCAAGCATTCAAATCAGTTATGTTTGAATGGTAGCAGAATTCCCTGGTTTGCTCTGTATTTTGCTCAATCATGGTATTTCTATTAATGCTCAGGTTGCACATTTCTATTTAGAAGAAACCTATTATTTTATTTTAATCATAGATGAAAAGTTTGGGTAGTCTTTCATAACATACAACAGAGACTGTGTCTGACATAATAGTCCCATAACAGCACAATTATTTTCAAAACACTTCCTGTCTCTCAATCCACACTTAGAGAAAGCAAGCAATCATTACAGCCAAAAATATCCCAGAACTAGGGCACAAAAGCAGCATTGTAGGGCTCAGCAGTGAGCCTAAGCCCAGAAGTCTACAAACCCCAGTTTGCCTGGTTACTTATCTGCTGCATATGTCCTCTCAAGCTAATTTAAAATAACATTAGCACATCTGTGATGACAAGACCCTGATCTACTTTGAGGACTAGACCAAGTTTCAAAAAAACCCCTTCCCTTACTGCTTGTGTCAGGGAACTGTGGGCTGACAAGGGAAATTGTGCCTGCCAGCCTCAGCTCCTCAAACCCTCTCAGTTGTTACTAAACTACTCTTAAGAAATAGTGCTATTTTGCACATATGTCTCTACAGGAAACACACAGAGCTAGGAAGATAAGAGCACAAGAAATGCCCTACTGATTCAAGTCCATAGGTCCTCCAGGCACCATGCAATACTCTGTCTGGACAACAGCAGTTAGAAATGCTGTTTAAGGAAATGACAGGACCCTGGCCACAGTCTGTGGTCTGCTCCCTCATACGTGTTCAGCTGACCCAGCTGCTACACTAGGGATGTTAGAGGGAAAAATCCTTGCACAGTCATTTCTTGTTAAAAACGGATGTTGGAAAGTCTTGGATGTTGCTTGTGAGCCTGACATATTTAAATGTGGCAAATCCATTTTTTTCATCTGTTGAGTACTGTCTGGTTCTACAACCTCCCATGGCAGAAAATTCTCAAAACGATGTATTTTTACAGTATTTTATCTGCTTGAAACGAACCTATTAAATCCCCCAAAAGTGCTAATACTACCAAGTTTGAAGAGTATTTGTTCCTGCCTGCCACCTTCAAAATTTTGGAAGACTCAGCAACAACCTCACCCCTACGAAAACACACTAACTGTGACCCAATCTTCCCTTCCATAAGGTCTCACGTGATGTTGCTCTATTTTTCATACATCTTTAACCACCCGTGCCCCATCCAACTACAACATCTACCACGGTCATAGCATCACTCTGCCTTCAGCTCGAGGCATAAACCACGAGAACTGCGGAGCATGAGGATTCATCCTTAGGCTGTGGTATTGTGTGCCCCGGGACAAGGCGGCTACAACAGAATCTGTGGAGAACAGGAAAAACCTCTTTCCCTCCTCTCACACACCACAGGACGAGCATGTTTTCCCACGGGATCTACCAGCAGTGTCCGTACCGGTTCCCCCACGGCCCCGGGTTGCTCAGCGAGGCCTCCGCGATTCCCGGGCGCGCAGGGAGCCCCGGCGCCGGCAGCACCGCTCCGGCCGGGCGGCCACGCCGGCCACCACCCCCGTTAGGCGGCATCGCCAGCCCTTCCACACCTCCAGCGGGCCGGGAGAGGCCGGCCTGCTGGGGAGAAGGGCACCGACCCCTCCCTGCCCCGGCTCCGGGCTCTCCCCCTCGGCGCAGCCACAAGCCCGGCACCCGCGCCCCGTGCGCCGCCCACGAGCCCTAAATCGCTCATGCTTTAAAAAAGGACCGAGGCGAAGCGCCTTCCTCCAGCGGCGGCAGGAGGCCCCTGCCAGCCCTCCCTCCGCCACGCCGGCCCCCGCGCCCCTCAGAGCCGGCCCCCGCTGCCCCGGGCGTCCCTGGCGGAGGGGGAGGCGAGGCGGGCACTCACCGCCGCCCGGAGGAGCGCGGCCAGGGCGGCCAGCGGGAGCAGGAGCCGCAGCATGGCGGGCGGCAGCCAGGAAACGGCGGCGTCAGCTGACGGCTCCGCCGGGAAACGGCCGGCGCAGGACGGGCATCCCTCCTCCTCCTCCTCCTCCCTCCGCACCGGCACCCGGCAGCGGCGCTCCACCCCTCCGAGCCCGGCCTCCTCCTGCCCTTCCCTCCCGGGACACCCCCTGGCAGCCCGTCGGGTGCTCGTGAGGCCCTGCGGCTGGGTGCGCTGCTTGCCGTGTGTCAGCACTGCCTGCACAGTCAGGAGCTCACAGGAGACTTTGGGATACAACCTCCGATGCTGAATGCATCCAAGCATTTCTCCCATACAGAAGTTTCCAAGATGGAAAGGTCTTGCTGACTTTTACCTCCCCTGGGCAGCCCATCGTCTTGATGGGAAGCACTGGGCCTGGGACCTCTCCTTCCCATGTTAAAGCACTGTCATCCTCTTTCGGGAGCCCTGCACTGAAATCAAGAGACAGCCGCCAATGCTGAGTACATCTCCAAGGATTGCTCCCACGCAATAGGTGCCAGGACAGAAAGCTGATTCTGGCCTTTACCTCCAGTGGTAAAGGAGTGGTTTTAGACCATCATCTGCAGCACCACACACACTCCGGCTGGTCCAAAGCCAAGGACTTGCCCCAGCTCCCTAGAGGAATGACAGAACAGCCACAGCCTCTGCCACCTTGGCTGGGCAGAAAGGCAGAAAGAGGCATTTTCCCAGGGGACCTCACTAACTAGTTCCCAGAGCGGCCTGAATTTTGCTCATTTCATATCCAGAGTTGAAGTTTTGCTGGCAGTTTTCCTCCTGTCAGCAGAGATTTTAAACTTGATTGCCTCATGGTTGCAATGGCCAAGAAAGCCGCAAATCATCACTCAAGAAAGTCACAAATCATCACTTTGCCCACAAGTCCCTCTCTGTTAACAAGCAACAAATCAAGGAGGGCACCTTTCACAGTCAGTTCTCGTAGTACCTGTACCAAGAGGTATAGGTGTTTCAGGAATCCTATGGACCTGTTACCAGCTATTTTGATTTACAAGTACTTAATTGCTTTAAGACTAATTTGTTGGTGTTGCCATCCTGGCTGGGTGGCCTATAGTAGACTCCCACAATCACACACACTTTATTTGTTTTGTCCTTTAATCCTTACCTGGAGGCTCACTTCTGCCAGTGACTGTGCATCTCTGGGGCTGAGCCAAGGCTTCTAAGCTCCTCTTGCTTGCTCCTCATGCTGTGTGTAGAAGCACTTCAAATGCAGTTCTTTGTACCCAGTGCCTCGTGTAGCCAGCTAAGGATCTCACTGGCGCATGGTCTCTCAATCTTTGGTGTGCCATTCCTTTGCTCATCCCAGGTGAGCCTCATTTTATCCCTTTGCCCAGCACACTTCTGCAGGGAGTTAACTCAGGAGTTAAAAGTATGAGCCAGCCTGCAGCATGAGTTACAAAGCCATTGGTTCTTCTAAAATAGTAGTTGGACCTGAGATCTGTGAAGTTTTTCTATCCCTCAGGAACAGATGCAGCCAAAAGGATGTTTACTCTAAAATGGGTACTCCAAACTAGGCAAGCAGACACAGGCAGCTCCCAATTTAATTAAGAATACACAGCACAGGAATATGAAGACCTGACAGAAATGAGAATGTTTAACACCAGCCTTTGGGGTCTCGTTTGTCTGTCCCCGCTTGCCAAGTGCCCTGTAAAAGGAGCTGCTGGTGACATGGCTCTTTACAGGAAATGCTGAAACAGTCCATGCAAGCAAATAGGAATTGGATTCACAGAAATATGTGTGTATATATATATGTGTATATATATATATATATATATATATATATATTTGTGGTAGAAACTTGATAACTGTGTATCTTCAGTACCTAGACTTTGAACCTGTCCTATTTTTGTGGAGGAAAAGTGTTGCTGCCCTTAGGGTAACATAAATAATCCTTTTTTTCCTTCAAGCTCTGTGCTTGCAACCCATCCTTATAGCCAAAACTGTCATTTCTGCTATTTTTAAGAGTTTACCTGTGCAGGCCTGGGCTGATGCATTTTTGTGATGGATGTTCTAATTGCCAGGACCATTCAGAGAGTTTTCAAGCTGGTTTTTTCCTTTAACTCTCCACCTTTCTGAAGAGAAGGAAAAGTTTAATGACTGTGGACCCATGCTGGAACAAGAAGACCCTTTTGTTTCCTATTTATGGAAATCCCCAGGGACCCCTATGGGTAATCTACATAAACAAGTAACCTGTCTGGAATTGCAATCAGAGGCACTGATCTCACTGACTGCAAATATCCTCCTTATAGAGGACAGTGAGTTGCAGCCACAACCTCTCTCCTTAATGGATCATCTGAGGAGTTATTGAACCTCTCAAGCAGCCTGCTTGGAATGAAGCAGCTTAATGTCCTCTTTTTACCCAAGGAAAGGAAAATAGGCATGTTAAAAGATAGATTTACTGCAAACATGGTGCAGTTTTCACTGTGAAAAAAGGAAACTTAATGGTCAGGCTCAGAAGAGGATATAACCCTAAGTTTTGTTTTGTTTCTGCAAAATCTTTCCAGCTAAGTAAAAACTAATGTTAAATGAAGTACTTCTCTGCCTATAGTACCTGCAATAAATGAAGAGCTTTAAAAATTATCCCCAAATTATGCTTATGCACCTCAAAGTTAAAAAGAAGACAGAAGAAATGCTGGTGGCTTTAGTTTTCTCACTTTAAACAAAACAAAAAACAGTGTTTCACTTACAAGTTCTCTTGATGAACATGAAAGCAATATATTTGTAAGGAAAACAGAGATTCTTAGTTTTGCATCAATATGAGCTGAAGGGAAATCACAAGTTATCTCACAGTGCATGCTGATACTGCAAGAACTGACTGCCTTGTCTCTGGTTTTGCTTGAAAGGATTTAACTATGGATGACATTGAGTGTGCATACAAGTCAGGAACCAGTTTGGCAGAAATTTGGGAAGAGGAGCTAACATGCACACTTTTCTGCTTCTGTTCGGATTCTTGGGGGCAAAAAAAGCTGCTGTTGTCAGCAACACTCGCTTAACAAATGTTGTGTGGCAGAAAAGTGATGAACAGGATGAGCAGCTGCCTGTGTTCTGGTCTGGAGGTTTATCTACCCTGGGGGCTTTTAGTACAGTGGGACTGACTCTGTAAAGTGGTGGGTTAAATTATACTTATTACTTTGCTTCCAGGGAGAATTAAACTAAGTCTGATTAAAGTCACTTAAATCCTGAACGTGAGGGTTCACATTCATGAAGGAGAGAGCAAAGGATGTGAAGATCCTTTGCATCAGAGGCTTTGCTCATGGGCATGCCTTTACCCTACTGCAGTTAATGTAGCTCTCCCAATGCTGAATCAGCTTGCATTATACCAAGGGCCAAACTAGCTTGAATTAAGGATAATTGCCATGGATCCACCATCAGGCAGCCATTTGCAAGCTCAGAGTAACTCGTCCCTAATCCCAGAGACTATGCCTGTGCTTTCACATGTGCTTTCCTTAGCAGGTGCCCTGGGTTTGGCTGAGATCTACTCCCCCTCTTCTGCTTTTCTACAGGATGGCCCAGGAGGTAGAAGAGGCCAAGTCCTGTACAGTGGTATCATTATACACACCTATTCCTGTTTCATGAGGAGTTTCAAGATGACAACCAATTATTAGAGATATGCAGACACCTTAGGGGAGATTTTGCAGTGAAGCATCCTGCGCTCCTTCATCTTGGAAGGAGATGCTTTGCTGCTGACATGAGCATGATGCCAAGTAACAGCAGAGCCCAACCCAAAACCTAGCCAGAATCACTGTTTTCTCCATAACTGAAACTGAGTCTGAACTGGAATTTGGAAATTTCCTTGAAGTCTCAGTCAAATGAGCATTGGTCACAGCTGAACACCATGATTAAAGCAAAACCTCATGGTGCTCAGACTTCCTGCAGAGAGGGGAACTTAAATCAGCATCATTTGCATGCCAGCTTACCAGAAAGAAGACATAAGATGTGCAAGTTCATACTTTTATTAACCGCTTCTCACTGCCTTTTCAAAGTCTTCCCTGCCACACTCTTCTGGATGGTTGTCACATAAAGATGTGCCACCAGTAGGGACTTCATGGGACTGCCTGCCATCCTGCCCTGGGTCTCCCCACTTTCTGCAGCAGGAATAGCCTGGCCTTTCCTCTTGAAGAAGGTATACTTTTGGTTTGCTCCCTTTTGCTGTTGTTTGCAAAGCACCTGGTGTTGCAGGTCATGAGACAGACCCTGCGATCTTGAGTCCTGCCTGCTGGCAGCCTTGGCAGGCAGCAGTGGGAAGCTGTGACCTTGGGTCAACCTGGAGAGGGCAGGACTAGACCTGGCTCCTCATTCCTGTCCCCCTGTCTCCTAAAAAGACAGAGGAATTCAGTTCTTGTTCAAGGGTACTTTTTCTCCCCAGTGAAAGTGTTTTGCAGCAGGACACATCCTAAGAGCAACATCTGATTTGCCCTGTGCTAGATGATGTGCATGAGCAGAAAATTGATGGTATGAGACATGGTCCTTTTGGTATCAAAAGAGCTTACAGGAAAAAAAAAAACCAAAATAAAAATAAAAGAAAGAGAAGATTACCACATGTGTTCGAGCCACCTAATACATGAAAACCGCAGAGTAAGCAGTCTGTGACAGGTCTAATCAGGCTGAGGCCCCAGGAGCACACACTTAGCTCAGCCTACAAAAAGGTTAATTGTAGGTGTAAAGAGCAAACATCACATGCAGAGTGACTCCTGCGTGCCACATCCAGGCTGGCCCCCCTGCAGCAACTGTCCCCTCACTCCTCCACTATTTATGTCTCTTTCCCATGAGCAGCCTCCATGAAAAAGGAACTAAATTACAAATCACCTATTTTTTTTTTTTCCCCCACCAAAGTGA